GCAGCACAATCTTATACCTATATACTGAAAAGTAAGTTCCACGGAGTGCAACCTTTCAGGAAAGTCAGTGTAAGAATTGCATTGCTAATTAGCAGTGAACTTGCTATCCTTCTCTAGAAAACAAGTGAAAACCTTGCTTCCCTTCTTTGGAAGAGAATATTTTGAAGGCAAAGTATTTCATATTTGTGGAAAACTATTTCAGATTTATATTCAGTTGCCTCTATGCTGGAATTATGTGAAAACTATAAAATAACAAGAAAAAAAATAAAGAAATATTTTGCTCAAGTCCAGCTCATTTAGGGTGTGATCTACTGTTGATGTCTGCAAACCTCCAACCTCTGAGGATTGTGGGACCCCATGGAAGGGGGAAGGAAGGTGGAGGTGACAGTCACCTCTGCCCTTCTTCTGTCCTGAAAAACACTTAGAGGAAAGATACTGACTGCCTAGTTGAGGTGGTTCAGGATACCTGAAGAATATCTAGAGCACTGCCAGAGTACTGCCAGGCTATGTCATATCCGGATCGCCATGAAATCCTCTCTGCATGCACCTCACGCCCCGATAGCATTCTTACAACCCCAGAGAAGCAACTAAGATGGCACTTTCCACACTGGCTGCAAAGTGAGTGGGGAAAGGGCTCCCCATGCATGGATCCCCAGCTTTGAGGTTGGAGCTCTTTCCCAACCTTGGAACCAGGAGTTCAAAGAATGCCATGATGTCTTAGGCCCTGTCTAGAGGCCAGATTGCTTTGTCTGTTGTCTGTCAAGCCCACTGTTTTCACGTCAGAATCTGAACACTTGACAATGTGGGAGAGCATTCAGAGGAGCCTGATGAACTTTTCAGAATCGGAACCTGCTGTGGAGGATGAGCATGCTGCATTATGTGGCCGTTTATTCATGAGTACACCAGGAGATGTTATCAAATATAAATGTAAACTGTAATAATGGGATCCTCAGGAGACAGCCACACAATTAGAGGCAAATGCTAAGCTTGGGATAAATTAAGAAATTTTTAACGGGAAATGAAAAGCAATCACAGCATATTCCAGTTAGGGTCACATCGTTCATTCTGAGAGGGTCAGCTGTGGTGGAGCCTCTCCAATTAATCCAAAGTTTAACTTTGGATGTGGTCTCAGTCAAGCAGAGCTTCAGAGCCAAGCATAGCATCTTCCCGTGCATTGCAAGTGGATGTGTGTCCTGCTTTGTAAGGGCAGTTCTATAAATGAAGAACTTTTGGAGAAGGCATTTTTCTAATTGAAGGCATCCTCTAATTGATAGCCTCCCCTGGATGAGGGTACTCACAGACTGAGGGCTCCTAACTTGAGTAGCAAAAATGCATTGCCCAGTTCTTCCATTTTTATTTCCTGGAAGGATCTTTTTGTGCAAAGGGAAAAAAATGGAAGAAGTGATGGGAAAACATGGGAGGGTTACAAGCTGAGGGTGACATCAATGGGACCCGTCCCCAGCAAATAGATTTATTTCTTTATCACCCAATATCTGGAACTCATTTGGGTGATGCAGGCTGATCGTATGACAGAAACCTCACCGGGAAGCATCCCACATCTAGTTTCTTGATTTATTACATTTTTGTACTCTCTGGATGGCATACAAAATATGAAAACCTGCAAGTACAGTGTAGAATATAATATAAAACGTTGCATGCAAAAACAATGCTTAAAGATCAACAATAAAAATCCCAGAATTGATTAAAAACTTAAATGCTGACAAATGCCTGAGAATAGAAGAAAAGCAATGACAATGACAATCAGATTTTCCAGGAAGAGAGGAAGAGAGATTTTCTGGAAGAGAGTTCTCTAATCAAGGGGTTACCACTAAAAAGACTCATCCTCAAAATCCACTACAAAGGAAGCTCCTGGAGGAGGACTGTACTATCTTTATAAGTAAATTAGTAATGGGTAAGTTTATATTGGGAGAGGTGCTCCATTACCTTTCAGTCCGATGTAAGGCTTTTTAGGTCAAGGCCATTACCCTGAGTCAGGCTCAGAAACAGGATGTCAGTGCATGCAAGAAATAATTGGTGTAATATGCTCAGACCTTCTGTTCACTGCTGTTAATCTGGTCACCACATTTTGCACAAAGCTGCAGCTTCAAAACCATCCTCAAGGCAGTCTCACATGAATTGCACTCTAGTATTTGAGAGCATAGACTTCTGAGGACAGTGGATTCCTGTCCAGAGATTGGTATCACTGGGCCACCAACCAAAGTTGGTAGAAGACACCCAGTGCCACTGAGGTCATCTGAGCCTCAAGTGACAAAGATGGCTCCAGGAGAACCTACTCCTTCATGGAGAGTGCAATGCCATCCAGAACAGGTGGAACACATCCAATTGAAAGAACTACCAACTAATAGGAGCTTGGTCTTGTCTGGATTGAGCTTCCATTTATTAGTCTTCATTGTGGCAGCCAGGCGTGAATCGACAGCCTCCCCGATAGTGATGATGAAGAAAAGAAGAAGCAGAGCTATATGACATCAGCATACTAGTGACAACACACTCCAAAACTACTGATGACCCCACTCAGCTGTTTTCTGGAGATGTTAAGCATAATGTGAGAGAGAACTGGCTCCTACAGAAGCCTGTACTGAAAAATCCACAGGGCTAAGCAATACCTCCCTAGCACTGCCTTCTGAAACTGGCCATCCAAGTTTAACAATAAAGAACCATAAGAAAGGAGAGCAGGGATCTTAAAGTTTCCCATCTATAGTTAGTAATTGATTATCATCTTTGTCACTGTTCTGACTTCTGTTTCAGTGACAGAAATTAGTGATCAGTGTTGTTAGCAACAATCTCTAAAAGACAGAAACATGTTGATTTGGACCCAGAGATAGGTACATGCAATCTCACAAGTGGAAGTGGACTTTCCTACCCCTTCCTCTCAAAGACAGCCCTACAACCTAGAGGGCTGGGGGCCCCTGGCTTAATCAGACAGAGACACCCCCCTTGAGCAGGGCCCTTCCATTCATGAGACCCAGACTTTGCCAACAAGTGCTGAAAGAACAATGAACGCTAAGCATGTTCGGTGGTAGAATTGTTCCATTGCTATAACTGTGCTAGTCTGAGATATTCATCCTCCATAGTCACCAAAGAGGTAAACTGACTGGAAACACACACAAGGACAAACGTCGTCATTTTTATTCATCATCACCACCACCACGTGAGGAAAGCAAGCCAACAAATTCTTTCTCTCTATTTTCCCAGTGGATTCTCCTGTGGCAATCATGGGAAAAGCATTTAGTGCCATTAAATTTAGTGGAAAGCTAGCTTCAGGATAATCTGATAATGCTGAAATTTGCCCTGCTCAGGGACATTTGCATGTTATTTATTCATACCGTTTGCATGTGCTTGGCCTGATAACGTGAACACATGCAAAACAGCTGTCAACAGCTATCCCATTCTGTTTGTTTGTTTGTTTGTATGTTTGTTGCCCCTTTGCTACAAGCCAAAAGCAACTGCTCAGAGCCTTTTGTGTCAAAGACAAAGACAGTTCACTCAACCCAGTTAGAAAATCATTTCAGGCAAGCTTGACTTGCAGGAAGGAACAATGCGAGGAGATACACAGACTGATACGGGGAATGAGGGCATGCTAAAGGGTCAAAGAAATGCCCAGCTCATTTCCTGACCTGGAACTATATTGGTTTTCATGACCAAATCAACAGCAAAGGCCTCAATTGAGCTAATATTAAAAATGGCCACAGCTGCCTAGCAGTAAGTCCCACTGAACTGAGTGAAGCTTATTTCTGAGTCGCTATGAATAGGATTACTCTCTATATTCTGTTAAATCTGAGGAAACACCTTAGAGCTCATTACTTTCATTGGGACTTAGCCATAAGTTAATTAAGGTAGCACTCTTCCTTTACCTAATGCATCCATTATGTGTTTATATACTGGATCCAGGATATCCAAACTGCACCACTGGCCTCTATCAAACCTGGCAGGCCTCCACCCACTTTCCACCATGGGGCTACAGATGGCATGGGTGTTCCTTGGCATCTGAGATCTCTGTTTATCTACTGCTAATAGCAATGGGAAAAACTTTACTCTCGATAGCAATGACTAATGAATAGGTGGTGAGTTCAGTGCTGAAAGGCATTCAGATCACTACTGGGGGAATCTTATAGAAATAAGCATTCTTCTTAGTAAACAACCCAAAGGCTATTTCCCTCATCATAATTATCATGGTCATCACTGTGGATTAATTCTTACCATATCACTTGTGAGTAGAAATCACAGCAATCAAGATACTCAACTTTCTAGAAAGATTTTCATGAATCTGGATCCAAAAAGAAGACCTTTTAGGAAGTATATAGTACCATTTGCTATTAACTGTATTTTTAAAAAGTGGAAGTCAACTGGGAGAGCTCAGACACTATCACAGTTGAGTTCCATTTGATAGTCACACTTACATGAATGAGTGCAGGATTCCAAGGCTGTGCTTGCATCATAATAAGTTTATGAACACTCTGCTGTCAACCCTACGGCTGTGAAACGATATTTAAGATGAAACAGCATCTGATAACTGCAGATACTTTGCCTGCTTAGTGGGTAGGAAACAAGACAGGATGTTACAGAATGAAAAAAAAATAAAATAAAATCAACGAGAATCCATTAAAATAAACCTAATTCCTACATGACACAAGTTTGATCTTAACCCAACCCAATCAGTTCATTATGGCTGTATGTGATTGTTGCACCATTACATTTAAGAACAACTATCCCCATCAGCGCAGGCAGATGTAAATCAGTCCAAGTGAATTAAGTTTTGCTCAAGGCACTCTATACAATTATGGTGTGGCTATTAAAGCAAAGAAAAATAAGATGGGGGAAACGTTTACCATGACACCGGATCCATTCTATTAACTAATCAAATTGAGACTATTTTCAAAAGAAGAAGCAGTCCAATAGCAAATATAAGGCATCTATTGCCCGGGAAGGCGTCTGTAGGGCCAGTCATTTCTGCCAGCTCTTCAATCTGCCCTCTTTGCTTCAGGACAGCAGCTTGGCATTGGAAGCTATGATGTGCACATGGACCCTATGAAGTGGAAAAATTGGAAGTGACGAGGATAACTGGTGTGAACGTCATGCTAGGTAAGAACAGAAGGACATAAAAAGAACTCTGCTGAATCAGACCCAAAGCATTCTAAGTGTCTTGGGTTCAACTGCAGTCCACCAGATTCCTCTTTGGGAAGGCCGCAACAAGATGCGAGGGAGAAAGCACTCTCCCGCCAAGGTTCCCATAAACTTGCATTCTTAGACATACTGCCTCTGAGCTCAGCCTGTAGCCATGCATAGCCGTATCCTCTGCAAATGTTATCCTTGGTGGGCACTGCTACATCTTGTGGTTGTGAATGCTGTAGCTTTACGAAGTGGTGGGTGAAGTACTTCCTTTGGTCAGTCCTGAGTTGCCCACTAACTCAGCTGCATTACATCACTTCAGGTTGCAGTATTATGAGAGAAAGGGAGAGAAGCATCCCTTGAGCCATACTGTGCTTGCATACTATTCCTGTACCTTCTAATGTAGCACAGAAATAAAGAAACATGGAGAGCAGGGGTTCTGGCCCAGTGTTAGAGAAACTGCTTTGCATGGAGAAGATTTCAGGTTCAACTTTCAGGTAGGGCTGGAAAAATCCCCTGGAGAGTCATTGCTAGGCAATGTTGACAATACTGGGCTGGAGAGAGACTAGTGATGTGACTCAGTATAAAGCTACTAGCTTCCTATGGAGGGACAGACAAGACCCAGATGCGATTAGAGGGATGACTTCCAAAGCCTACCCTGTCTGTGTGTGTTGGGTGAAACAGAGTCCTTCAATCCTTACTGGCCACAATGTCACAATCCACTGGGATACTAGCTCTTGGCTGCCGCACCCAGAAGGGTCATGTACTGGCTTCTGACCAGCCTAAGTGCAGGCAAAAGTATCTCCTTGTGGTCAGCTTCTCTGCTCTGAAGACTCACCTATATTCTTGGAGAAGAGGATGATGATGTCAGGATGGAAGAAGGAATGAGGAATTCCCTGTCTGCACTGAAATTGGCTGGGCATGGGAGATCCTGCTCTCCTATAATCTCAGCCCATCAGGACCGCTGAGAAGAACCTCATATGGCAGTTACTGCAAAAACTATCTACCTGAGTTCAACTAGCATAGCCTTCCTCAGACTTCTAGTTATGCTGGATTACAACTCACATCTTTCCAGCCAGCATGGTCAATATGGCAGTCCCAGTGCCATGGAACTGAGTTGCAGTCCCACACATCTGGAGGGCACCTGGTTGACAGTGGCTGCACCAGAGTGCCATGAATGCCTCCATCAAATGTCAGAATGTGGCACTACTTATGTGTTAACATGTGGATACCCCGGCACCATCACTTTGTTCCCTTTCTGCCCACATACTGGCCCTGCCTAAGTAATCTTGATTCTCTGATGCAGCCTTTGCTAAGGACCAGAGTAGATACAGGGACAGCAGTGTTGGTTTGGGAAATAATTAATGTAAACATGGGGTGTATTTTGATCAGAACTATGGTGTGCTAGAAGGAGAAAATTTCAGGGTGTACTGGTTGCCAGGAAACATGAGGGGGAGACTTCCTTTGCCCTCTTTTGATGTTGGTTTCCCATAAGCATGTGGCTGGCCAGCGTGGCTGGCCAATCTTAGGCTAGACTAGATAGGCCTTTGTCTGATCCAGAACAGCCTTCCTCATGCTCTTATTCCCTTCCCTTCCCTTCCCTTCCCTTCCCTTCCCTTCCCTTCCCTTCCCTTCCCAGCTTCAAACTATTCCGTGGACAAAGTTGAAGGCAAAAGGGTCAGAACTACAATACAAAACATACCAGCTCTTAGTCCCAAGGACTAAGCCTTAAGCGAGCATTTCAGCATTTTTGAATTTGCAAAGAACATCATGCACACCTTGCAACTGAAACATTTCCACCATGGCTGCCTGTCTGCAAGTACACAGTGGATAACACAACTCTGGATAACACCAGCTGCATTCACATAAACCATTGCAGTTTGAAGTGTGTCTAGGAGATCTAAATAGTCCTTGTTAAAGATGAGCAGCAATCAAAAGCCCAGTGGTGGTGCTGCTGAATGCATTGTTTCTTTCTGACCTCACATTGTCCAGCCAGAACGACTAAAAGCCTCGCTTTGTTATTTACTAGCTTTTAAGTGTACAATTTTTGACAGTCTTCATTACTCTTTAATAAGCTTCTTTTGTAGCCGAATCTGCTCTTTAGGTCTACTAGAAAATGGCATTCAGTGTTTTGTCTAGGGGAGACTGATTGTAATGCATTTAAAATATGCAAAGAGATACTTTGCTTTGAAGAGGAAGCATTCCATTTTCTCTTATTCCCAAATTTACCCCATTCAAATTCAGGACACCTCAAAGTGGGAGGTCTTAAAATTTCCAGTTATTAGGGAGGGGCAGGCCTCTTGGAAGATTAATTTATCACTGGGAGAAAGGGTGGGGGGGGAACTAATTTTGCCTCTCCTTATGCCAAGTTGCAAAAACAAAAATCTACTTACATTGTGGGAGGTATAATTGAAGAGAAAACAGGGGTAGCCACAGGGAAGGGATGTTTTGGGATGTGGGTGGGAAGGTATGTGGCCAAAAAAAAAAAAAAAAGATGGGAAAGATTAGATGGGAAAGATGATCCAAATTTTTCCTACAAGTTAATATGTTATTCATCAGGATTCCCATCTCCTACAATCTGAGAATAACAAAAGCATTGCCATTCATTGTATGAAAGAAAACTTGATATCATAGGTCTACAATTAAATTGAGAAGGTGGGGGAATAAGTGATAGAATCCTTATTTGCATGGGTGCTCATCTACAGCAGTAGATACTCTGCACTGGGGTGAGCAACCTTTTTTCAGCTGAGGACACATTTAACCATTTAAAAACTGTCCTAGGCAAAATGGCTGCCTTGGAAGGCATGGCAGAGGAGGAAGACCCTGCCCAGGAGTTGCCATGGAGACCCAACATGCTAAACAATTCCTTGGAACCCACTCTTCAGCACCCGCAGAAAGCTCTTTCACAGCAGTCACAGCTACTGGCAAGGAAATGAATAAATACCAGCCCTGCCCCAACTTGGCAACTTGGTGGAGACCAAGAAAAATGTCCATAAGTAGCCCCGGATAAAAGCAACTAGAGGCCCTGGGCTAGGAGAACTTGGAAGGCTCAAACTTAATAGCTTCTGATCATGAGAAACAAAAGCTCATTCTCTCCCTTATCTACTCAATGAAAGTAGAGCATTGCTGAAATTTTAGCACTGATAAGAAAATTGTTCATAAATTTGTAACATTTAACAAGTTTACAAATGTATAGAATTAATGAAGATGTTCACACAGAACATTCATAGGGGAATCATAGCTAAGCTATATACAAACTAAGAACAGTTTCTTTTGAGATTTTTTGGATGCAAACTTATCAATCATATCATTAAAATCAGTAAGTCACAGTTAATCATTTTCTATGCAGAGAATATTTAGATCAAACAACCTATCTTGGAACTTTGTTGACCATAGATCATTCTTTATCCTTTCTAGGCTAAAAAATGAACTTAAAAATAAAGTGCAACCATTTTCTAGCATCAGCTTTTAATATATCCCACTGCAACTGATGCACATGCCGTCTGCACTGATGCATTTCTTTAAGAGTAAGGCTCTGCTTTGCCTTTCAGAAACAACAACAAAAAAGACCATATTGATTATTTTGGGAGGGAAACAAAATGTACCCTGTGCATTGCCACATGATCCTTTTGTCTTCCAAATCCTGGGTTCTTGATTTAACTGTCATAAAAGTTCCAAGTTACCAAATGTTCATCTTTTCTGACACAAAGATGTCTGTGCACATGTTGGAAAAAGTATTGTATGAAACAACCCTTAAGAGTTTCATTGCAATTTGTTCTTTCTTCATGATGACCTAGAAGGCCTGAGGCTGGACAGAGAGGTTAGAGTTCATTTTCTCTCTCTCTCTATCATCATCATCATCATCATCATCATCATCATCATCATCATCATCATCAGTTCTATTCTATTCTCTCTTTTCAGAGGGCATGAAACCTTACCCCATCCCATTCTCTGCAGCTGCAGCAATTAGATTACCAGAGCAATTCTACTTTGCTGGGTGAATATCTGGTGGTGGGCCGGCCACATGCCAGGCCCTCCATCTTGCTGTGCCCAGGGTGGATGTGTGCGTTCTTCATTTTTCCTTCTCATGGACTGCAGTGGCTGCAGCTTATGGGAGCTATAGCCAAAATATCATGAAGGATGGTCTACACTGCCTTACCTCAGTTTCAGAACGGGATTGCCCCTGGTCCTACTTGGGGATGGGGAGGCTTGGAAGTAGAATCTTGTATATGTAAAACATGTGCTCTTCCAATAAGCTGTGCAGCTCCCAAAGGAAAGTTTCCTATGTTATTACCTTCCACTCCTCTCACTTTGCAGATGATATTTCTTTAACTTCTGTCAGGAAAGTGGTTAAGGAGCAGGGAGGCAAAATCACAGAGGTGTATAATATTTCCAAGTATGCTACTGTTTCCAGAGCCTGGCTCTATTTTTTGTTTAGTGCAGCCATAGATCCCACTTTTATAGTATCATGGAACTCCAGGCTACACACATGAGAATTCCTAGGCAATCTCCTCTCCAGTGTGTGTGAGCCAGTGTGGTGTAGTGGTGAAGAGCATGGGACTGGGACTCAGACGATCTGGGTTCTAGTCCCCGCTCAGCCATGGAGCCAGCTGGGTGACTTTGGGCCAGTCACAGACTCTCAGCCCAACCTACCTCACAGGGTTGTTGTGGTGGAGATAAGATGGAGGAGATGTAAGCTGTCTTGAGCCCTTTGTAGGAAAAAGGCAGGATATAAATAAATACTGACCATCCCAAACCTATTTAGTTTCAATAAGGTACCATCTTCATTCATCCTCAGTCTATGGCCTGGGATACCAGGTTTGTCATGTGCTTAAGGCCTTGGCGAGCTCATGGTCAAATGCATGGCATTAGAAAGTGATGTTGCCTATATTGAAGAACATAATTGTGTGATCCCATTGTCCCATGGGGACGGCATGTAACCTGGGGAGGGACAGTCAGTGCAGTTCTTTGCA